GATCATTATCTTTATGATTATTTCCTTATCATCATATGATTATTAGTGTTATTAAAACTATCGTTACCTTTACCTCTGTATTTATTTGTCTGTATCTGTATCTATTATTTCTCAAAAACTCAATTCCTACATTTTACAAACAACGCCATGAAATAAAACAAAATCTGCAATGCTAAACGCCTTACCCCACAGTGTTGCCAGTGCTAAGAGGTGAGTAAATATCCGGGTTGTGGTTGATCGCCAATTTGGTAACGATGAGCTCCGATCCAGCTGGGTAATCACCTGGTATAATGGCCGTCCAGATGCTGTCGCTCCGGCGGGTGTCAATTTCTGTTCAAAGATGTTCATTATAGAGTCAGGAGTGGTAAGTTTTGTGTTTTGGGATAGTTGAAACTCGTGTCCTCTCTCTCTCTCTCTCTCTCTCTCTCTCTCTCTCTCTCTCTCTCTCTCTCTCTCTCTCTCTCTCTCTCTCTCTCTCTCTCTCTTCTCTCTCTCTCTCTCTCTCTCTCTCTCTCTCTCTCTCTCTCTCTCTCTCTCTTCTCTCTCTCTCTCTTCTCTCTCTCTCTCTCTCTCTCTCTCTCTTTCTCTCTCTCTCTCTCTCTCTCTTTCTCTCTCATCTCTCTTCTCTCTCTCTCTCTCTCTCTCTCTCTCTCGTCTTCTCTCTCTCACACACACACAACCCACCTCTCTATCTATCATGAGTATTATTTCTAACAAAACAAAATATTATTTTAACCTCCGTCTTCATCAACAAAAAGTAACAAACCAAAAGCGTTCCACGGTTATCGTGACTTCGGGCGCAATGTCAAACCCCTCGAGGTTAAGCCTTGTGGGTGCCACAACCTTGAAGAGGTTTGTAGAAAATGTAGTTCAGACATGTATTTACAGAAGGCCATTGTCATTCATTCGTTTATTCTGTTCTTTACATATTTGTGTATGTGTATGTCGAAAAGTAGAATTAATTATATCTGTTCATGTATTTCAGATTTTTGGCAGGCTCGGGTGCAGTCCATGAAAACGTGGAAATTGTGTTATTTAATTTGGATTGAGGGGTAATATGTTAATGCAACTAACACAACACCAGCCTTGATGATAACAGTTTGTGGCGTGGACTCGGAGCACCGCAGAACCGCAAGTTTTGAGGAAAATTATCATTATTATCATTATTATTACCTCAAAAGATAAGATCAAATGCATTCCAACTACCACACGAACGTCTACCACAACACCATGACCTGGAAACACCTTACCATGGGGTTGTCGATGTCTTCTACCGTACTCCAGGTCACCGTTGCAGCGTGCGACTGCTGCGATGTCGACGATACCTTAAACTCGTAGCCGACATCGGAGCCGGCAATCTGCAACACGCAACGGGGTGTTCCTTGACGTTGTCTGTATGTCTAGCGATTCTCAGTACGTGTTCATAAATACATCCACCTATCTGTCCATATCTATATCAATATCCGTCCATGTAACTATCTGTTTGTATATTCATCTATATAGCCACTGTAGCTACCGATCTACTTTTGTCTATATTTGTATATTTCAATCTATATATCTCTTTCTATTCTCTCTCTCTACCTATCTATCTATTTATCTATGTATCTATCTATCTCTATCTCTAGCTAGCTAGCAGGATATTTATATATATATCTAACAATCTATCTATCTAACGCTCGCACTCTCTGAATGTATCTATGTCTTTAAATCTATATCTATCTATCTATCAACCTGTCTAACTATCCATCCATCCATTCATATATCTATCAATATATTTGCATCTCTGTTTGTCTGTCTATCTACCTATCTATCTATACATACATGAAAAAAACATATATATATATATATATATATATATATATATATATATATATATATATATATATATATATTATATATATATATACATATACATATATATATATATATATATATATATATATAATATATATATATATATATATATATATATACATATACATACATACATACATATATATATATATATATATATATATATATATATATATATATATATATATATATATAAATACTTACTCCTGTTGTCTGAAACGAGGCATAAATGCCCCCATCAAAGTTCCCGCAGAAGAAATTGAACTTCTCTGCATCCTCCGAACCGCAAGCAATGTCTCTGAACGCAACGGGGTGTCTCAAGATGACATTGAACTTCTCGGGATCAAAGGAGTCGATTTTGATCACAAGGTTGAGATAGGAGAGTCCTTGCGCATCAAGTTGAATTTTTCCCACGGTAGTAATGCCATTCTTGATTTCTGTTGTAGATACACCGTACTGAAAGATAGTAAAGTTAATGAAATTTAGCATGATTGGTATTGGTATTATTATCATTTATTATCACTGTAATCGTTGCTATTGTTCTTATCATTATTGTGAACATCATTATCATCATTAGTATTATCATTATTATTATTTTTATTATTTTGTTCATTACTATTAGTGTTATTATTATCATTATTATTATTATTATTATTATCATTATCATTATTATTGTTATTATTATTATTTTTATTATTATTATTATTATTATCATTATTATCATCATCATCATTATTGGCATTGATATTAATGTTATCATTATCATTACTATGATTATGATCATAATCATTATCGTCATTGTTATTATTATCATCATCATCATTACCATTATCATTATTATTATATTGATTAATATTATCAATTATTACATATCATTACTATTATCATTATCATTACTATTATCATTATCATTACTATTATCATTATTATCATTACCATTCTCATTTTCATAACTGTTAATATCATTATATTCATTATCACTATTGCTATTAATATTATTGATATTATCACCATTATTAACATCATCATTACTATTGTTATGACTATTACTATTACTTTCATTTTTATTATCTTATATCTATAATTTTCACTATAAACATTTCGTTTAGTATAACTTTACTTATCTATCTGTGGGTCTTTTTATCTTATCTATATCACTATTATAAATCTTATTTATATCTTATTTCTTTCTCTTTCTCTCTCTCTCTCTCTCTCTCTCTCTCTCTCTCTCTCTCTCTCTCTCTCTCTCTCTCTCTCTCTCTCTCCTCTCTCTCTCTCTCTCTCTCTCTCTCTCTCTCTCTCTCTCTCTCTCTCTCTCTCTCTCTCTCTCTCTCTCTCTCTCTCTCTCTCTCTCTCTCTCGCTTTGTATAGAAGAAAAAATCTAGCGCAGACCTACCACAATGTGATCATCAAGGTGGGAACTACTGAAATATCTTTCAAAGTCTTCCAGCAGATGTATTATATTAGCGGTCGCGTTCGAGGAGCTGTAAATGCGGCCGCCGGTCTCCTGCAGAAGGGGCGCCATGGTGGGGAGGTTCTCGAGGTTCCCGAGGCCGTCCAGGAGGAGCATTTTGACCTTCTTCTTCAGGAGGATTTCCTGCGGGAGGGAAGGGAGGGTTCAGGGCTCGCGAGGTAGGCTTGACTTTTTTTTTTTTTTTTTTTTTTTTTTTTTTTTTTTTTTTTTGTATGGATTGATTGGCGCCTATATACAGGTGATTTACAAAGTGCACACACATACACATTAGCACACACATTCTAGCACAGACACACGCACACACACACAGACATACACACTAGCACACACATTCTAGCACAGACACACGCACACGCACACACAGACATACACACTAGCACACACATTCTAGCACAGACACACGCACACACATACACACACATACACACACATACACACTAGCACACACATTCTAGCACGCACACACGCACACACATTCTAACACAGACACACACACACATACACACACACCTCCCCTCCCCTTCCCTCCCTCTCCCCTTCCTTCAACCACTCCCACCCCTTCATCCTCTCCTCCCCTTCCCCCTCCCCTCCCCTCCCCTCTCACTACTCTCCTTTCCTCCTCTCACTACTCTCCCTCCCCTCCCTCTCCCCCCTCCTTCTCTTCCCTCCCGTTCCCCTCCATTCCCCCAACTCTTTGTTCCGCTCCTCCAACACTTTTCTCCTTACCTTCCACCTCTCCCTTTCCTCAACCCCTACCCTCCCCATTCCTTTATCCATCCCCCTCCCCCTCTCCTTTAATTCATCCCCCTCCTTCTCTCACTACTCTCCCCTTCACTCCTCTCCCCCCTCCCCTCCCCGTCCCCCTTCCTTCATCCCTCCTCCCCTCCTCCTCCCCTCCCCCTCTCACTACTCCCCTCCCCTTCTCACTACTCTCCTTTCTCTCCTCTCACTACTCTCCCTCTCCTCCTCCCTCTCCCTCTCCCCCTCTCCTTCCCCTCCCCCTCTCCCCTTCCCTTCAACCCCTACCTCTCCTTCATCCCTCCCTCCCCCTCCTCCTCTCTTCCCTATCCTCCCCTCCCCTTCTCACTACTCTCCCTTCCTCCTCCCCCCTCTCCCTCCCCTCCCTCTCACCCTCTCCTTCCCCTCCCCTCCCTGCCCTCTCCCCCTTCCTTCAACCCCCCTCCTTCATTCCTCTCCTCCCCCTCCTCCTCTCTTCCCTCTCCCCCTCCCCTCCCTTTCCCCCACTCACGCTGTCCACCGCTGCCGCCTCTTCCCCCGATACGTGATTGTACACGAGTGCCATCAGGAGAGTGCCAGGAGTGTGGTCCGTCCAGGTTGGCACCAGCTGAGCCACAGCCCGGCCCAGTGGCACTGTCTTGTTCGACTCTCGATCGCTGACTGCCGGCATGAACTCGTCCAGGCTGTTCACGTCTGGAAGGGACAGGTAGATGGGTAATATAGGTAGATAGATAGATAGATATAGATAGATAGATAGATATAGATAGATGTAGATAGATAGATAGACAGATAGATAGATAGATAGGTAGATAGATATGTATAGATGGAGAGATATAGGTAGGTAGAAATAAGGATAGATCAGATTAATAGATATAGATTGATACAGATGGATTGATAGACATTTATACTTATAATAATAATAATGATAATAATA